TTTTAAGAAAAATAATCCGTGAAACAATAAATTTTAAATTATCTGTAGGTGAATATGTGGGAGGCATATAATTGACTCAATTATTTTACTACCTTTTTGTATTATTTAATTAACAACATTTACAGGATTATTTAAATATATTCCCATAAAAAATTCGAGTTCTGTTATTTCAAATTATTTTTCATTAATTATAGACGAGTACTGTTTCTAGTATATCAAATATTTCAGTAAAGCTGTTTCTTAACGAAGTTCGAAAAATTAATATAACCAGACCCCAAGTACGACCACATTGTGATCAATTTAGCACTATTTTAGATTAAAAATATTTTTAAAAGACAAGGATAACCAATGGGTAGTCTTTACCAATCAAAACAATTACTATAATAACCAAACACGTAATTAAATATATTTAAATATGGCCACATCAGTTTTCATAATTGTTTTTCATAAATTGTAGTAACTTATAAAAATGTATAATTATTTACTGTAATTTAAAATCTTTTAAATTACTTTAATACCATTTATAATAATTTAAATTTTATTATAATAATTTAAAATTATTTATCATAATTAAAAATTGTTTATAATAGTTTAAAATCATTTGTAATAATTTAAAATCATTTATAATAATTTAAAATCATTTATCATTTATAATAGTTTAAAATAATTTATAACATTTAAAAGCATATTTAATAATTTAAAATCATATATAAGCCTTTATAATTATTTCAAGACTATATAAAATATATAATTTATAATCACTTATAAATATATTTATTTTTTTAAAATTATTTATGCATTGCATACCATTTATTTGCAGAAGAGAATATTCTATAGTTATTAAAATTTTAGATAATTGTTATTAGAATGATTTTCATTGAAATCTATATAATTTGTGTAAATAGTTATTAATATTTTAATTATATTATATCTTTAAAAAAATTTTTTGCTATCACTTACCCAATTACAAATAACAGAAAATATTGTTTTTTAGTCCTAATATTTATCAGGTTATAAATCAATGTTGGTCAACACTGCAAAAGAAAACAAATAAATGCATTTCTTCAAACTACTGATTACTACTATATTTATTTAAAAAAAAGTAAAGAACAGAAATCAATAATTAAAGTTATATCTTAATTTTATAAAAATTTAATTCCATAATTGTGATAAAAACGGGATACTTGATATACTTTTTTATATGTTATACTGTAAACTTGGTTTTTAATATTTCACAATAACAATTGATATTAATTTATTTTCCATAACTGAATTTGGAAATTTGAAAATATTTCAAAATTAATTTTATTTTGAAGTATATAACCAAAAAGTTTGGGAATCGCTTCATATTAAAAATTAACGAAATTGCTTTTTTTAAATTTGGCGCACAAAAAATGTTCTTAAAATTCTCGTTGGCTTATAACGCCGCTGAGTTCATTGAGAATGATGATTTGTTGCCTTACTTTATAAATTCTATAAACAATCTCGTAGGGTTTTATCCGGAGAGCACTTTAAATGGAATGTTTCCTAAACACTAATAAACTCAACTACTAAAAATTTATTCATAATATAGAAAAAGTTTTCATGTTAAGAATAACCTTTGTATGAACAACCATTAAGCTAGGATGTGATAATAATATCTCAGAAATAGTTCAATCATTTTTATTCATGATGTAAATAGTGATATTCAGTTATATTTTTTTATAACTAATGGCGTTTTCTGCATTCAATCTAGATTTACTTTGGATCTGCCGAATTTAGTTGTCCAATCGAACATTTTTAGAGTAATGTGACATTTTTTTAGTCGCGTTAGTAGAAATATATATTTTTCACAAATACATATATCAAATCAAATTACAGTTTATCTGTCAAATCATATAAAACAGCTGTTAATTTCACAAAAATATTTGATACTCTGGCAAAATATTTAGTGTTATAAATTAATCACGTGTGATGTACAGATTTACCAAACGAATATGAAAATTGCATTAGGAGTGCATTAAAACGGGTAATGCATCAGGGGTAGTTGTAAAAACTACCCTAGATTTATCAATCTAAGACACTATAATTGATTTATGATTCAATTTTCTTTCGGGATGATTACCTGGTAGGGGACTTTCTTATTTTACTAAAAACTGTTGTGACTAAGTTTTAACCCAGAATTCTTTACTTATTAAGATGTTTTCGATGTGAACAATTTGAACACTCAGTATCGCTTGAAACTATGATATAATCTACTTAAAACCACTATGTTAAATTATTAATATTCAATATAAACTAATAACTTCGACATTCGTTTATTTGGTGGCTTTAACAGATGTCACTTGAATTTGCCAATTGTAATGTATATTAATTACATGCATCGTATAAGCAATTGAAATCCATAGGATACCATCGATTACGATCCGTCCAGCTTTAGAATTGATGGATTGAATATGTTCGATACAAACATACGATATTATTTTATATTTGCACCAAATACATTTCTCATATATTTATTTATTAAATATATTGGATTATATGTATCTTACTACTATTGATTTATATTATAAGATTATATTGAACTATTCGTTTCATATGAAATGTTAATTAAGCTACATATACTATTAGACATTATAAAAGCTGCTTTGAAAGAAGTTGATTGTGCTATAAAAACCACTAAAAACATGTGGTATAGAATTTCTAAAATTTTTTATAGATAATGTGAAACCCTAACAAAAAACTAAGCAACGCTTTATTTTTTTTACCTTACCCATCACCTTTTTCTACTAATTTGTATATAAACTCAAATTTAATTATAGTTTCTTTTCTATTGTAAACATCAAAAACTCATCTTTATAATGTAGTAAATTTGCTCTATATAAAAACACTTTCAGAATGTATACATTTATTATCCCTTAATAATACAAGCCTGCCGATTGGGTTTCATTCAGATTTCTTTATTTTTTCAATTTTTTCTCGAATTCTCTACCTGTAATGGTGTTAAATCGTTTCTTAATCCGTCTTTTACAGGATTTCACATTCTGGTATCTATTGCTACTTTCCTTTTACTGGTACTCTGATTTTATGTCCGTGCCAACGACGTCGGTTTTGTTGGTAAGTCTGGTTTATAATTATGGGGACTCTTCAAACTACTCTTCTTTATTAATTTCGTTTGCCATCTATTTCATCATTCACCATATTTTTAATATGGGAAGTGGTTATCAATTGAAGTACAGCCATATATATTTGTACCTTAATCTATGTAGGCAGTATTTTTCAAATACAAAGTTCTTTAAGCAAAATTTCATAGAGTTGAAATTTCTCTCTAAAATTGTAATATTTTTATTCCCGTAGTAGTCAGATACATTTTGTGTAAACAATATATATTACTACTACTTACTGAACTACAAGATACCTACCTATCTATAGTGGTAGTCAGACACATTATGCCTAAACAATATATATTGCTAATATTTATTGAACTATATTGTACCTATCTATGGAAATATGAACTTATATATTGCCGATAACAGATATATAATATAATTAGATGAGAACTTCTATACATATAATTAAATCTACTTTAGGTGAACCATAGAAATATAATATGCTTTCTGTGAAACCAGTTGTATCGAGTTACTAAAATTTTGTTATAGTGCAGACGGTATAGTTTTTTTAATTTACTATGAAGGATCTTACAAAGCATATTTCAGATAAAACTCGTAATCCTATGATCCTACTAAGAATATATTACTGAACATAACTTCAATAAAACTTGTTATAAGCTTTAAAATTTTTATAGACTTGTGGCAACAGTACAAACGATATGGCGACCCTTACAAACAGCCGATTGTCACCTTCACAAAATGGATACGGATACTCTAAATAAGAGTGACTGGATATGTCAAGCGGTGTGGAAACAAGCAGCACATGTTTATATTCTAAAGTGGTTTTATTACAGTATTTATTTTGTGTGCTATATAAAACAGTTGACTAAAACCACTAAAGATTTTTATATAAAAATCATATATAAATTGATTTACGTAGGCTTTCATTGTGGTACATACATATTATTATATTTCATCGGATATATGGACTAAAAGCATGGAATATTCGATCTTGTCTATTCCTTACTTGATACTGTGATTCATTAACATGTCTTCTAGATTCATTTTATAAGGTATGACTCCATATTATTTTTGGTTTGTCATATCGGCTGCTAGGTTATGGTTCGAGTTTTTCACATAGAGTTCAACATATTTTATTATAGGAACTTTCTAAAGATCAGTTTCTTAAGTAAATATTAATAACTTTGATATACTAACATGTTTCTCAGATTATTTTTTAACTCAATAGAACTAGTGCAAAAATGTTTTAGTTACTTAAGCTATATATCATATGATGAATAAAAAAACATTCTCTTGTTTGAATAAAGTTGAATAATATTTGTATACCAAACACAGACAGACAGACAGACATTTTATTCAAAATTTAAAATTTTGTATCTGTGCTCGTATGGGTTGGAAAAGCCTGTTTGTTGTTCCGTAAATTTGCTTTATTTGAATATTAATTCCAACCAACACAGTGGGATTTGGTTGTGCGGCAAAGCGAACACGATGTTTCGGCATTGCGGCCATTGTTGCGTTTAACTCAAACTGATCTCGTCCAACTGTCAGAACTTTTTTTGAAAATTTCTCCAAATATTTTTGTTTTATTTTATAATTTGCCAGTAAATGAAAAATACGAAAAATCGAAAATTCGCTGGTTGGCGTTGATTATATTGATTTTAGTTGTCGTGACAATATGAAATGCTGAAAAATTAGTTTGCGATCGGTGAACGCAGGCAATAAATTGAAAAACGATGAAATTTTCAAAAATTGTGAAAAAATTAATTGCAAAAATTGATCATTTACATAATATAAGAATCTTGTGAAATTAAGCAAAATATTAATATAAAATATTAAATGATTTATGTGCTGTTGATTTTATTAGTATATCACCCACCTAATGAAAGCAATAAAGAACTATTTAGATATGTGAAATATAATAAATTATATATGTATAAATGTCAGAAAAAGTGATCTCTGGTGCAACATAAAATATATTTTTTTTTCATTTAATTTTATTTAAATGAAAAGTGCAAAATCTTCACGACAACAGTATGGCGGTAATGAGCGCAAGACTGGCAAACGCTCCGAGAAGGGTGCAAAGTATGATGATTGGCTTTATTGATCCTCTTAAATTAATTCGCTTTTTATTGTTTAAATATGTGCATTTTCTTCATTTCCCTGTTAACTAAGGCAGAATAGTATTGAATTTCCATGTAAAACACTTTTTTTCATAGATGAATTTTATTAAGTGTGCATAAACTATTTTCTACAAAAAGCACGTACGGAACTCATAGAGCAAAAAGCTTCTAAGAACAGTTTTAATAGCGTCATAATAAAAACTTTTTACACGCTAATGCATACATATATCTGATGCCAAAAAATTCAATTTATATACATACACTTCTGTTGTATATATTAAAAATTATAAAAGAAATTTCTTTAATAAGATTTCAAGGGCTTTAAAAATAGCTCGACTACAAAAACAGCGCCACTTCAAATTTGCTCTGCTCGTTCATATAAAAACGTCAAAAGTGAAATATTTTATTCATTCATTGAAAAAGTTTCTTTTATGTTTGAAGCGCTTTAATAAAATTACTACTTTTGTTATTAAAACAATTTTTACAATTTTTGAAATAAAATCGGAAAGAGTTCCGTTCTTGCAGTATATCAAATAAGTAATTTTTTTAAACGTTTTTTTTGCTTTTTTGAACTTTGCGCGGTGTTTCACTTCTGTTCAACCGTAAAATACAATTTATTATTTTAATCTTTTAACATACGCCAATTAGTCTGCTAATCCAACAATTCTACGCTGAAATTAAAATAAATAAAATTCATTTTAAAAATATTTTTCTATTTTTTAACATTTGTTTGGTTTTCAAATAAACAAAAAGCAGGTGAAAAGAGCACATTTAGTTAATTTATGCATACATAGATATCATTTAAAAATATATTTTATAATGGAATCCTACATACAGGGTGGGATTTGTACATAGTATTATATATATTTCAATAAAATATTAATTCCATAAATATTTATTTCAAATTGTTGGCTTACTACTAGGCATTTTCTATATATATTTTAGATTTACTACGACCAAATTATTTGATATACAAAAGCTCTCTATTTCTCCAACTTCTGTTTCTTTTATATTCATTATATCAGCAGTAATCTTATATTTAATTTAAAATTTTGAAGCCTTTAACTTCTTTTTAAGGTTTAAAAATCTTGTCAGAAAAATTGTATACAATTCAAGAAAAATATCTATTTTTACTCTTATTATTAACATGGATTTGCAGACTTCACCCTTACTTCTCTTACTCAATTAGTCAAGCTGTTTTATATAATACAATATATGTACAGATCTAGTTAATTTTTTTTGTTCTTTAGACTAGTACTGTAGTAATAGTCCCAACTTCAATACAAGAAATCTTTCGACATCTAATGATCTAATTAGCTAATATACAGGAGACAGATGAATAATTAGAATTATAATAATTAATTAATATTATAATTGATTAGTTTAATTTTGATTAACAATTTTTTTAAATTAAATTAACATTAAGTATTTATTTATGAAGATCCTATTTTAAAGTTATGATCCCTTTATTAATAATTTTTAAATTCTTCCTTGCGATTACAAGTGGTATTCTTAAATTATAAACTCTACTTAAATGTTAAATCTATAAGTAATGGTAGTTAGAATTACAACTGATGATAGAATGGAGCTCTTAATTTCATTCCATATCTTTGTTTTTGAGCTGGACGTGGACAGTATGAAACTCACAAAAAAAAATGAAATCGCCCTTTTTACAGCATATAATATAACACTTGCTTCATTAAGGAATAAGTGTTAAAGTATATTAAAAGTAATGGGTCACTACTCTGTTCATATTGTCAAGCGTATGGAAATACAAAGATACAGTGCGCACTATGCACAGTTTGTACCGCATGCGGACAGAGTGATTATTGTTTCAATTGAAAAAATTGACCAAGGATTATCCAAAATAACAAGACACCCAAGTATTCAAGAATCTCAAATATTGGTTAGATCAGAAAAACAAAATAGCGTGTAGTTTGACTACATCTAAAACCAATCATATCTCAAACCAATGTTGTTAATCAGTCTATATGCGTTTCAGTTCTTAACACTTTAAAATTCTGAAGTCAAGCAGGTATGTTTGTACGTACGTATTTTTAGTCAGTCCTCCTACTGGTCATAGCACCGCTACAAAGCGTTCAATCTCAAAGTTTTTGTCGTAATCAAGAATAAAAAACCGATTCAGTTTCGACGTACTCTACCTAGACTTATATTGGAATTATCTTCAAGTTAATAGTGTAACCGATAAATTTTGAAAAAAATTGTGTTATTGAACATGTGGTATGAGGAAAAATCTGTCACAAAACTAAACCTGTGACTGGAGATCCTGATCTCCTTCAAAGTCCATTTTCTACTTAAACTATTAACACTCATATTGTAACCAACAATATTCTGAGCACAAATAAATGTAAACGGGATTGTTAAAAAGTGCCAGGTAATGGTAAAATCAATGACAATAAATAAATATATCATTTGGAGTTTTGATTTACATTACTTGAATGTTTAATGTCAACTTTCAATGTGCTAATCCTTCACCGAGTTAGAGTAATCGTATATTATAATAATTTATAATCTAGGTAAGGATCCTACATTACCTTTATATTACTACATTACTTTTACATTATCTTTACATTACTTAACGTATGGATCCGTCAGTGTACATCTTTGCCTTTGTTAAGAAATTTCGTGGTATGTCACAAATGGAAATTCCTTATTAAATACTGTTAATCGAACCAATTAAGTTCATTTGACACAAGGTCTTGTGTGGCAATGATATGTTCTATGTATTTCTCTTTCTGTGTAGGTTATGTGCAAAAATTATATCTTATGGATAGTACACATTAGAGTTAAGGTCATGGTAGATATTTATTTATTTTTTCACGGCCCTTGCGCTATTGTGAATTAAAAGATATAATGATCAAAGCCTATCGACGGATAATTTTTTTATGTGATGTATATTCTACTAAATTGTATATTTAATTACAGACTAATTTTTTTTACTTTTTTGTTGATTACTATTTTCCAATATTTTAATTTGTTTTGCAATCTGATTAAATCCACAGTAATAATAAAATTATTTCTTTATAATCGTGTAACATTGTATTTTGTTATGAAGATGTATAGTATGTATATTATTAAAAAATTTAATGAACTTTGAAAATTATTTACCATTAACATTTTTATAATAATTTACAATTTAATTTTATTTAATAAACAAATCTTAACGTAAATTACAGGGTGGGTATACACAATCATTAATTTGGTACATTTGATAGGAGTTTTAATCCAAAATCATTCCTACATCGAATTCATTATTTTAGTTATAATAGCAAAAAATATCCAAAACATGTTAGTATTATTATACAAAAATATTTTTTAATAATAATTTAAAGAAAAATGCAAATTAATGAGAAGAATCTCATAAAAGAGTTAATCCTGCACTTCGTACACAACGGTTCAAAATAGTGAAAACTATATCTTTTTGACATACTAGTGGTAAAATATCTTTTAAAAGAATTAATAGAATTTTTAAATATTTAATAAGAATTGATTTGAAAAATTTCAATAATTTAAAGTATTACTTGACTACATATAATGTATTTAAGCAGATACTTACTCTGATTTTTATGTACAGTGTAAAAAGTATGATATATATAGGGTGGCAAAGATATTTTAAGGCTTAAATACATATATTAAATAAATGTATATATTCATGAGTTGCTCGACGATCTAAGTTCATTTAGACCCGTCCGTCCAACTCTTTCATCCCAAGAAACTGTTTCAGTTTTTAAGTAATTCGACTGAAACCTTACGCCCGTACTATATCTCGGCTATGAAGTGATAGTATTTATTACACTGGTGAAAATATAACTAATTATAGTAGTTAGCTACAATATAAACTGAATAATCACATATCGTTTTTAAGAAAAATTTTCAAATAAAATTAATTTCTAGATAGGCTCATATTTTTTAAGCAGATGTACAAAATTTTACATATGTCGATTCAGATTTAGATATAGCTGTCATGTAAATTGTCGATTCAGACAGACATTTTTGTTAGAAAAACATTTTCATGTTCTGATGTATTTTAGATTTCGGACTTTAACACATTATAATTTATAGAATATCATCTGTGATAATAAAATGTAATAATGCAATTAACTATTTAAGAATAGTTCGTATATAATTCGGAAATGCGTTTTTTAGCAAAACTTTTTAATTTTTTCAATGTATTCAACTTTAATATAGAATTTATGTGTCTTTAATTAAAGAGACTATTCAGTATAACAATACTATCGATTGTGACCGATATACAAATCAAAAATCTCAATTAATTAGAAACTGAGACACAACAAAACCACTATAACTTTTATAAATTTATATGTGTATTCTACATTGTTATGGATTTCGTTATATATATAATCATATTAATCAGATCTCAATGTTGACTCAAATTTCTGTGTAAAGAGTACTTAAGCCTTGGCAAACCTGAGGTTAACATTTTTACTTGTTTTTTTATATATAACATTTTTTGCATACTGATGATAAAATTTATTTATTTAATTAATTATAGAGGTTTTGAAGAGTACTAAATTGCAACAACAAGCATTTGTATTTATTTTTAATTAATAGCGAATTATTTTTTTTTTAATTAATTGCATCTTTCGCTAGCCATACAGCTATTTCGAATATTGCCAAATACATATCATCTGTGGCCTTGGAATTATTAATTAAATTTAATTATTCATAAATAGTTTTTTTGAGAGTGCAATTACCAAATGTTGAACTCATATCCTACCAAATTTGAAGATCAGAGTCATATGTATTTCTAAGATTTTGTAAGGTTAAAGGCCAAATCTGAAATTTGAACCATATTATGCTAAGTTTAGAATCACGTTAGATATGGTTAGTTTTGAATAGTGGACTTGTACATCAAAGTATCTTTAACTTAAATAACTCAAAAAAGGTTCATACATTAGATCAAAAGAATTATCACAAAAGATATGGATAATGTCAAAAAGATACAACTGCGACTGGCCCATTCAAGTAAAAGAAAATCACCAGTTCCATTGATTTGACTACTTCACTTTGAGCCAATAGATAAAATATCGAACTTGCTTTGTCTTGTTTTAAGATGGAGTTTCAACATATTGTTGTAAATGCTCAATGATCATTACTCATTAGTAAATTTATTTGTTATGTTACAACAGAGAGCAAGCATAAACAACCGCTAAACATAATTGCATTAACTCATTATGATTAGTTTTAGTTAATTTTCTTTTTGCGGAGACACTATTTTATACATATATAGTATTATATTTTAAATATATCTATAAAAAGTGATTTAAATGATTTATGATTTATCGATCAACATAAGTATCATTAAACAATTTTAATAAAATTTAATAATATATATTTAGTTTATATTATTTAAATGTGTTATTTAGAAAATCTATTAAGTATTAATGAGCACCCGTTATTCATATATGTTTATAAAAATGTGGTTCTGTGTTTATAGTTAGTATATGTATTAAAAAAATGTTTTCAAAACTTATTTACTTATTTGCTGTGGCTTATTGGAATCGAAAGTAATTTTGTTTTTAGTCGTAGGCAAGTTCGTTTTTTATGTGAATCCGCAGTGATTTGCTGTCTAGTGTTTTTATTTAATAAATTTATGACTCTACGTAAAATTGTTGCTCCATGCGATGTTAATTTATTTATATACTATACATTATTAGATTTTTATATACCATTTATTTATTTATTTATTATGTTTTTATGTGCGTCGTTGTTTGTGTGTAGTGTGTGTAGTGTGTGTAGTGTGTGTAGCTCTTAACTAAGTCTTTAAGTGAAAAAGGCTGTAAATTATTAGCAAAAACAACAAAAGATAAACATTAATGCTAAACGTTAATTTTAGTCAAGTTCGTTTATTTAGTTCACTTACAGAATCCGCTGGAATATGTTTGAAATTTTTTTATAATTTTATATTGCCAAACGTGCTGCTGTTTTATGATGTAGCTTAAAGGATTAGTTAGTCATTAGGAGAGTTGAAATTTGTTATGAAAATAAGGAAAATAAGTGATTGAGTCGCACATGTTTGTGTTTGTGTAAGCCTTAAATATGTTGCTTCTTAGTAGCACTGGACAATGGGGATTTTGCAAAAATAGAAGGCAAAGTTTTATGTTTTATTTTTCGTTTTATTTTATTTTATTTTATTTTTAATTTTAAATTTAAATTTAGCACATTGTTTAACTTTTAGTATATTCACCTACATTCATTGGCATGATTTTAATAAAATTTTTATTGCAGATTGGACCGAAAGTCATCACGTGGCATGATCTATGAAAATGAAGAATTAAGATTGCGTACAATCAACATAAATGCTGAGGTTGAACGAGGTAATAAACTATTTATTGCTAATCAATATTAACCTTAATTTTTATAAGTTTTTGAGTGTTCGCATCTGTTCGCACACAAACGGAACACTGACCAAAACACGCGTCATCTACATGATCAGATAAAAAACAAAATTCGTCTACTGTTTCGCAAATGTGTCCTCCCTTCCTGAGCTTCTGCTCATAAATCGAAAAATATAGTAAATATTTAACACATAAATTATTGAACATAAACAAATCATATACATAAATCCATGGTCTTCTGCGTGCACCGAAATTTGTTCAAAAATTTGTCAAATTTTGTATTGAATTGAGAAATAGAAAAGTAGTTCTCTTTTATTGAATTTTTCTAAAGAAATTTTAAATCAAATTTTTTGCAAATGAATTTACCAAACAAACTGAGATTTTACAAACATTTAAAAACAAAACAAAATGTCACCAAAAACAAAATATAAACAAATTTTTTTTTTGTATATTTTCGTATCTGTGGATATCAAAACATTTTCAAGATTTGCCGCACTTTTTTCAGTTTTGAATAATTTCTTTCTTGTGTGAGATACTTTTTGTGAAATGAGATAGTTGCCAACTTATGTTATTGCAACGTCATACGTTGGTTATGGGTTAATACAGATTCTTAGACACAAAACAAAAAAACAAAAAAGATTCATTTTTAATAAATCATTAACCCGCTTATCAATTAACAAAAAAAAAGTACTATATTAAAAATATTTTTGGAGTAATTCTTATATATTGTTAATATTGAATTAAGAGTTCTTAATATTAAAATAAAAATGTTAAATTAATTATATGAAATATTAAATTATTACTTAATATAATTACCCTTATAGTAATATAATAATACCACTATAATATAATAATACTTTATTATGTGTTATAGAAATAAGTAAACCGATTCTTTGATGATTTCATGATGTGTAATGTCTATAAATTGTGGTTACTTTACTGTTAAGTCAATGAAGTAAATTTGGTCAAATTATAAATCAAATAGCATAAAAGTTATAAAGCAATTGCTTAGTAGTAATCAAAATTTTAAAATTAAGGTAAGGTGATAAAACTCCTTTCACTTACCTTATTTTTTCATACTGATTACTTTAAGTCTTTTATATGAGAGAGTACAATTTTGAAGACAACTTCTTAGTTTAGAAACTAATGTGGACTTGTCTTTTTTCTTTACAAAGAAGCTATTTGCATTATAAGTATGAAAATATTTTCAAACAAAACTAAAACTCATACATGACTACATCGCTTTGCGGTAATATCTCATTTCTGCAAGCTACCTAGATCCATGCTGCATATCGACAATAATAAAAACAATTGCGTTATGAATATCACAGCAGTTCAAACCCTTCTGAGTCTAGAAATCATGAAGTTCCGAAAATCCAAAATCCATAAAAATTCAATATGAAAGTGAAGGCAATGTTGAGGTATTTTTAAAATTCAAAAGCAATCTCTATAAACCGTTTATAAATAAATCTATTTAACTGTTTTGAAGCGTTTAAAGTTAGATATTGTATAACTACTGTATATGGACAAAATATTCGCAAAAGGAAGTCGATAATTCCTGCATGATAATGCGTTATCTCATTGATTATTAAATGTGTTTAATTTTTGTAATAAAACTAGATTCTATTTGTCAACCACTTCCAGTATTCGCCAGATTTTTCTTTCTTAAATTGATTTGAAAAAAAAAATATCTTGCAGGATTTATATTTAATTCAATAAGTTCTAACAATTATTCCAAAATTTCTTTCTTTCCCTTAAATGTCGTTAAAGGTCTCAAACATTTAGATTCTTGCCACGAATATCATATAAATAGATATATATTGTCACTCTTTGATATATTCCAATTTCAAACTTACACTTAATTTTTTCGGAAAGATGATGGAGGACATAAAGTATTGGGATTTTCTTTATCCTCATGTTATTCATTGATGTACGATTTCTACACCCACTAAAGTTAATTGTCTCTTAAAAGCCAACATTTAAGTAAAGTTTAGTGAAATTTGTCATCAGCTATTTTTTTTTTGCATTTGTGCAGTTTAAATCAAATTTTCTGATGAGAGTCAATCACTTAGTCATCGCTCCTAATATATTTCACATTTTTCCAAAAAATATAGTTGTGAATATTATTAAGCTTACTAAACCCTTTTTATTTAAAACTGAGAAGTCATTTTGAAAATTGCAGAACCAAAACTTAAGTGTATTAGTATTTTTCATAATTATGAAAGAAGTTGTGCATTATTTCAAATGGAACTATCATTTCGCGTTAAAACTACGTTATTTTATACTATTTTTTATACGTATTGAAAATCTCACCAAAGTTAGAGATTGGCGGTGGATAAAGTGAAATTAGTTTTTCCTCATTACTGTTCCAACACTTCTAATTTTCCTTTCGTCAAAAAACGCGTCACTTTAAACAAAAAATATCAACCTTAGAAGTCAGAGTTATAAGAAATACGGCCAATTATTTTGTTCAGATTTCCTTATCGAGTTCTAAACCTGACACTTGCAATTCAAAAAAGTTATATACGGACTATAAAATTTGAATATTTTCTAAGACCACTAATGATGAGTACTTGGCAATACTCAAAACAGATTTGCATAATAAGCCAAATTTCAATAAATCAATGAACATTTTTTTGTTGTTTTCTTTATTACTACTTGAACCCTAAATAAAACTCTTCGAAAGTATAACTAAATACGTAACAAAAAGAAACGGAACCGAATCGGTCCAAATTATCTCACATGCAATTGAGTAATACATTTTCCATTACACATGTTGGAGTGGCGGCCTTGTTTACCAAGAAAGCCCACTTGAGCACAAATAATGGCCCGTTGTGGTACCATTACATATAAAAAGCGCACAAATCCCGTAACATAACACCGCTAAATACTCAGACATGACCCAAGATACTAATATCAGATGGAATGCATATATCAAAAAAAGAAAAGAAATTTCTGTTGAAATCAAGACACATGGTTGGGCACATTGGTAAGCAGACTGCTTTATCCATATAGATATCAAAACACCCTCTTGTACAAACTATTGATTAAATTAGTATGAACTTATGGGATCCAATCATTGTTCTTTTCAAATTCGACCAATAGTATGAATATCCAAACATTCTTAAATACAGACATGCTGTCAGTACGCCTTAGTATGTGCCTAGTTCTGATCTCGAATGCGTTCTTAGCATCGAATTAGTTACTGCTTCAGTTCAGAAATTTACAAAGTCTTAGTTAAAAGGGTTATTAAACCATAGCAATTATGAAGCAGCAGCTTTTACTGATCCCAGCGAATGTAAGGATAGACTAAAATTTAGAAAACCACACCTTTGTAGAGTGGCTAACTTCTCTGCGAACTTCGTGCAAAGTGCCAATGATGTTGACTGTGTCGCATACAATTCAAAGTAAATATATCATTAGTTACTTATATTATAAATATCTGCAGTGATATGGAATAAAGTGAAATAGAATTCTTGACAAGTTAATATAGGAATAAATATGATTTTAGTTTACTAATTGATGACCAAACAGTTTTTAATAAAGTGTTGTCACAGACTATTTGATCAATTTTTTTAACAATAATAAAATGCTAATCAATTAGTCTGTAACAACACTATATTATATTATACATAAAAGAAATAAGAAGTGAAACCAAAAGGTAGGGCAACTAAAAATTCGTTCAGTTCGAAAATATATATATAAATTAAGTTGTCCATCACTTTTCTTGAAATATGTCGTTTTAGACACGACTACTCAAGCAAATATAATGTATATGTTGGACAAATCACTGTTGGCAACATGCACTGAGACTGTTTACTCGAAATAACGAAGAGTCTGGCACGCATGTTTATAAATATTTGGCTCTATGGACAGAACACATGACAAACTAAAACTAAAAATCTCATTGAAATTTGATTTACGAAGTACTTTCGTTTCAATACAAAAAGTTTTTATTATAAACATTCTAGTATTTTGAAAAAATTTATTTAATAATATTTATATTGTGTATAGGTCAATCAGATATTAAACGCTTACGTCGTGAAAATGAGCAATTACGTAGAGAAATATGGACGTTACGTGACGAATGCGATCGACTAAACAAACGCTTCAAAGCGAAATTGATCGACCATGATCACGGTGGTTGTGGAGCACGCGGCAGTGGTGGCAGCGGAGGCTGCACAAGACGCGGCAGTGGTGGAGGATGTGACGGCATACATAGTAATAGCAACAGTGAAGTGAGTAAATTTTATAAAAATGTGCGAGAAACTTACTTATGAATGTCATGTTTCCATTTTTAGGATTCAGATTCGTGTGACACTTGTCGTGCTGAAGACGATCACTGCAGTGATGATTGCTGTGCTAACGGCAGTTGTAATCAACTATCGCCAAAAGAACAAGCAATGGAGGAAGAATATACACAAATTAATACAACCGAAACCACAGCAAGTAATGGTGGCAACGCATCAACTTCAATGACAAATAGTGATATGCCACAGCTGCATACAACATTTGATCATTTATCAGTGGTATCCGAGGAAACTTTAAGTAATAGTGAAATGTTAGCAAACCAGAATGAAAACTTATTACGTTACACACCCGATCTGAATGGTCCGCCATCAGCTGTTAGCCTAATAGGACCATTAACGCCGTTAACACCCATCGAACTGGTGGCGAATCAGCTGAATGATTTGCAAGCTGTTGTGCCGCCGCTCTCCTACTTCGAGAATATTCTACAACAACACATGGGTTCGAATATAGGTGAGAATTGTCAATATGCTATATATTTTTAAATAATTTTTTTTTGAGATTTGATTAGATTTGGCAAAACAAAATACATGGTAAAATTTTTGTTTCTTTGTAATATAACAAATAAAAATTTCTAACAAGTGGATTTTATGAGATTGTAATAAAAAATTTTGAAAACTGAAGCATTTTTGATACAAATTTGATTTTTTGAAATTAAAAAAAAAAACTATTTTATTACTATATCCGAACGTAAATTAATTTATTGTTCTGTTTATGTATAGGTAATACACCCGAGAGTAATACAACCACAAGTACAGGCACAACAGTTCGTCACACAAATGGTTGGGATTACAATATTCAATCACCATTTGCACAACGCAGATTTGCGAATAATTCAAGTTCATCGTCATCAGCATCACGTTCACCGTCAATGCAACAGCCTCAGCAACAACGATTACACGGGCAACAACTTACAACATTTGTACCAACCACACTGTCACCACCACTCATAACTAATACGGAAGAATATACAGATGAGGTTACACGGCAAACTCAATCAAATTTACCACCATCAGCGACAGCTATTGAAACAGTAGCGATTACTACGAAACCCACTAATGTACCACCAATACTAAATAGTCCCAAGCATTTCTTTGCACCATTAAAGCCACGTCTTAAAATCAACACTTCACTGGCTAACAAAAATGTGCTGACAACAGCAACAACAACAGTACCATTCCCAGTAGCAGCAACAGTGACAACAGCCACAACAAATTCTACGTGTAATGCAGAACACCAAAACTGTGAACCACCTGACATATTAGTAGCAAATGGATTAGCTTCACCATATCAAAGGCAGGTGTTGCATGCCCTTCCTACAACCACAACAACGAACATAACACCACCACCAATACCACAGCGCATTTATTCGCCACAAGTAAGTCCACGACAACGTCAGCTATTGCAACAGCATTTGCATCATCATCACCATCATACACATCACCATCAGCAGCAACAAGTACAACAACAACCACAAACCACCGAAGTTGCTTTTGTTGCTGGTTGTGCATCAAAGCTTACCATTTATGATGGCGATGATGGTGTGAATGCTGGTGCCAACACATCAACTGCAACATTAATTAACACTAAATACATGCAACTGCAACAAAATACGCCACTGCACCTTAAACAACAGCAACAATTGCTGCAACAACAAATACATCAATTCCAACAATTTATACCCGTGCCCGTTTATGTAGAAAAATCTAACACTTTATTAACTAAACTTAATGAACCGATATATGCCACCGCACAAAAACGTTGCAATCACTTAATTTCAGCAGTTGCTGTTAGCAAGCCATTGATGACGACCACCACACAGAACAGTAAGCTAATTTCGCCACTAATAAACTATTCCAAAACAGCAGCAACAGTGATGAGCAATGCAAAAAATCCAGTTCAGGTGAGAGTAAGTAACCCGTATATTGCACCTCCTCGTGATTTTTGCACCTCTAGCAACTGTGAGCAACTCTTCCCTAGCTGTTATCCCAAAAAAACTACTCCATTGGTTGGAAAAAGGAATTTCTAATATTGGCTACGTCATACTTTCCCAAATACATGCTGTGCTGAAGCTATCTCCACATATTTCAAGCACCCATTTTGCTTGTTCCTCACATTTCAGTTTCACAAACCAAAGTTTAAGAGCAATTAAAAGTTCATAACTCACTCAAGCTTTTAAAAAATCAATTGATTTACTAATAATTTAAAACTAATCATTTACTTAATACTTTAGCTACTTCTAGCTTCTGTTGAATTAGTAACACTTTCAATAATATTTTTTTTAGACCGACTCTATGGATTTGGACACAGTGCTGAATAACATTAACGCACTCTCTGAAGATATACTTGCAAGGCAATGTGAAAAAAATAGATCTCGTGAGAACATTCTACAAAGCCCAACAACAACAGAAGCAGGTGTACATATATCCCCAACGCCAACTAATGGAACGTTACGACGGGAAGATAAAAACAAGAAGCCTTATAGGTCAGAAATGAATCTGATGCTCACATACGATGGCACAAATTCAACAATCACGCCAACAACTACAGCAATCGGTACCCAAACTTCTGTAACACGGCAAAATACTGTGGGGCATATACGTGCCCGTTCACTGGAGCGCGAACATACAGACAGTCCATCACCGAATCTACCAGATCCAATGACCCCATTTCCTGATAACCGGGCCTACATCGGGTTTGAACAATACAACAATTCCGTTAACACCACCGCAACCGGAAATACGCCCAAAGTACCTAAGCCGCCTTTGCCACCGAACACAACGACATCTAGTACAGATGCAGCAAAACCAGTAACGCCTGTAAAACCGCCGCCACCTATACCACCTGCACGCATTATACCACCAGCATTAAACTTACGAAACATAGGAGCAACACGTCTGCCAATAACGAACTCGCCACTGCAACCTTCCACAGATCCACAAATTACGCCACATGCTTCACCAGTGCATGGGCTACTGCCGAACAAAAGTCAACTATATGCATCCATAGCACATGCAGCGGCAAAACGTGCCCAATTTCGTTCTGCACCAACTTATATGACCAGATCTTTGGATCATGATTTACCTGCTGAAAATGATGAACTACTATCACCAACCGTTGCTATAAACGAGGTAAGTTTTTTTCTCATGTTGTCTCATGTTGCAACAATAAACCGTATAAACATATTTTCAGACAACGCAATCTGCTGAAATGTCCAAAAGAAAACCGAGACGAGTTTCCATTGTTTGTAATGATAGTAACACAGACCCTGGCGTTAGTCAAACACCAACTAAACCTGCAGCACAAACAATAAACATAGCTGTCAATGCAGAAACTGCAACAGGAGTGCCGACAATTATTAGTCCAACTGCCGCTAGTTGTAATGATTTAACTACCGCTGGCTTAACAGTTCCCATGATTAAAAATCTCAAACAAACTAGTCAAAGCACACCAAACTCGCCACATTCCTCACGACGTTACACAAATGGAAGTAGCATTGTGGATGCTGCAACCGCAGCTACAGCCGGCGCATCGAATGCCACCACAACGAACCAGCACAACCATCCGCATCAACAGCAACGCAAATCTAGCCAAGATTCTACACGTGATTTAGCTACTGCGGCTGCAGCGATTGTCGCACGTAACAAATGTTCACGACGTCATTCAGATGGCACGGTGAACAGCAATGTGCAACGTCATAGTGGAGCTAGTGGTCACCATAGCCATCATCATCACCACCATCATCATCATCAGCACACTTCATCTGTGATCAGCAGTCATCCACATCACAGTCATCACTCAAGGCAAGATAGCAATCATGATTCATGCACATCAATATCAGATCGTAATTCAAATAGTTTCCCCTCTTCCCGCGAGTCATCCACTAGCTTCAGCATGCGTTCACAGCGCCGCAAGATTTCAGTTAGTTCACACGCAGGCGGCAAGATACCGTGGTGTGGTTGTTGGGGCAATGGTTGCTTGTAAATTCAATACACGTATTCTTAATTATGTTATTTAATTAATAGATTTAATTATTTTTAATTACTAGATATTAAATAAATTGTACTAGTAGATTTTTCTGTACAGTGTGTATCTCAATTATGTTATAGGTTAGTACGAAAGGATTGGAAATTTAAATGTAATAATTAAAATAGTCAAATTAATAGATTTAGATTAAGTATGAAATTTAATAAATAATTGATATTTTTATTTATAAAATTCAATTTATAAAATATAATGTTATTTAAATAATAAAATATTTAATAACTAAATCCCTGTAACGGAGCTGAATTAATTTTTTGTTGAATTTTAATTATTGATTTATATTATATCAATAAATTAATAATGTTAAAAAAATTAAATCAGTTTATTAACTTAATAATTCAATCTATTTGTCTATTTTATTTAAGTTAGACTAATTACTTATAAAAGTTAAAATTTAATTTATGTACTTAATATAATAGATAATATAATGTAATGTGTCAAATCAAAAATTAAGCAAATTTAAGTAAAAAGTATCTTTCAAACAAAATATCTTTTTACTAAATTAATTTAATATTTTAATTTAATTAAATAAATTTGTTTTTTAAATTGTAGTCATTTTTTTATTTATTATTGGTTTACTTTAATAAAAATTAGAAGATTTTTGTAATTATTGTATTGATTTTTTATATATTGATGAAAATATAAATATTTTAATTTTATTTAATTTATTTTAATTTATTTTAACTTAATTTGATTTAAGTAATTTAATAATTATTTAGATTTGATTAAGTAAAAAGAAAAATTAACGGTAAAGCCGTTTTTTATTTATTAATTAAAATATATTAATTTGTATTTATTATTTTATTTAAATAAAAAATAAAAAAATTATGTTTGTATTAACTTTATAGTCATTTTATATTAATTAATTATAGAATATAAATCCTGGATTTTTAAGTATTACCGTCCTTAGTTTACTGAAGCCTAGTGTTTTACAAGAAAAATATTTATAAATACTGAATTATATATCAGAATCTGGTCAAGAAAGTATTTACATATCCTCATATATACTATTTATTTTATTTTTATGTAGATCATGTTTTGATTTTTTATTTAAAACTTAATATTTTTTTTTGTGAAGATGAATACTTCTGCCTATTGAGTTTTATAAATGTAAAGTATCTTTCCTTTTTGAGTTTCAGTACTAAATTTTTTAATTAAACTGAATTTTAATTTTTTCTTTAAGCTGAATATATTATATACCATGTTAATGCAAATCTTTTCTTGATTATTGTATCTTTGTTTAGTGTTGTATTTAAATGTCACAGTATATAATACTTAAGACAACTAACTTTAAAGTAGGAAGTTTCATTTAATTAAAATTGTAAATGTTTTCTGTTATAATAATAAATAATTACAAAATTTTGTATTTATGTAAATTTGTTAGTCCAAATATAAGTATTTATATAATTTATTTTCATGGTTAATTAATTGTAATATATAAGATTTATGAAAAATAAAAATTCTTATGTACAAATTGATTTGAAGATATGCGATTTGTTTTACTAATTCATTAAAGGGAGTATTTAATACCGTCCATTTTATGTTAACAAAACATAACTCATCCAATCTAAGTTACGGTAATCAAAAAATTCTACTATTCAATATCCACTTATCCCAATGGGGCATAAGGTCTCAATACGCTATTTGAAGATTGCTCCAGTCGTATCATATAATATATGCTCCTTACATGTTCATCTCTATATTTCGGAGAAATTAAGCATGTAAATAAAAAGACTTTATTCTAATTAAATCGTTGCGAACAAATTTCTTAAGACTTTACTATAATAAGGACAAATCTAAAAATAAGCATATCCACAATTCTATTTGGTGTAATAATCATTACATTTGAAATTCTACAATAAATTGTATTGAACATCACCATTTATAACAAAAACAATATTAGTGTTTTCTATGCTTCTATACATTACAACCATTGTAGATCCTGACATATTAAGAAAATATCGTATGATTCTCAATTGGATGGATGGATACTAAATCTTCATGCTAAGTTTTAGTGCACTTTTAGTACAAGTAGTGACTTATTTAGTTAATTTGCTAAAAATCTGATAGACTTGAGAAAAAGATTCGAAGAGTGGTAAAAAAAACAAAAAATTTATTCATTATTCTTTGAATTTTTGACTGACCAAGTAGCTGGTTCGAGCATTGCTAAATATCCATCCAAAATAGTTTTTGGAAATGTATGCATATAATAATTGGACTGCAGGTACCAAGCTAAGGACATTGAATCTGTCAAATTATGAGCAATGAGTTTGCGCTTTTAATAACCGAATTAGTCAAAACTGTACAAAAGTGTCGTAGTTCAAATTTTATAATAATTTCTTTTTTATAATTTATTTTTTATACTATTTAACTCAAAAATAAAATTAAGAACAATATTTAAATGAGAGACTACTTTCCTTATTTGTTGATATGCAAATATATTCTTATCACCACTATACTTTGAATTGTCAGTTTTTCCAAGAATATATGAATATTTGGTTCATATGAATTCGGGGTAGACTTCAGTCAACACATTTTATTTAATTGCATCACAACATATGAACAAAGAATATTTTTTTTATTCAATGCAAAGGCAAATAAAGCATCTGTGATGCCATTCGATCATATTTCCAATTATAAGTAACATCCTTATACAAATGAGCAATTCAAAATTCGTGTTGAGATTTTCTAGAGCTCTAAGCCAGTAAGTAATAGACTAAAATCTTGCAATTTATGGCAACAAAAAATAACAGACTTTTTATAAAAGCAAAAACTTAGAGAAAGTATTTTACAATCGATATATCAAAGATTTTGAAAACGAGAACCTAAAATTTGATGGCCTTCTTTCGAGTGCATAATAAATCAAAAGATTGCTTTGAAATATTTGATTTTGACGGAACAAACGGAACAAGTTATATGCAACATGACCTTAAACTTTACCAATAATTTTTTCCGATATAATAAATTTGACTTTAGCTTTAAACACATTCTTCAGATTTTTCTTAATATATTGGACTTAATTTAATGACCAATGTCTCAAGTGCTTAAAATATAGTGAAAACATGGGGAAAAAATAAATATCCTAATGAGTTTGTAATTATGCCCATGCATAATGTGGTGCCATTAACCTTTGCCATTTGGCGCTCGCTGTTGTTAACCATTAAATACTTTACACATTAAAAATATAACGACATCCTTACAAAAATATTAAATTTCATTTAAGGATACAATAACAATAACAAAAGCCGGCATCCTATATAAAATTCGTGCACGCGTTGCGCCGAACTATAATTAAATCGCAGCTCGTATCCTTTCTGCTGCTAACGCGATTATGTTTAAACAGTTATATTTGTGTTTGTATTTGTGAAAACCCTTTTTTAGTCGGATTTTGAAATATCCTTTTAATAGTATTTACACAAGAATGTAAATAGGATTATATACATATGTATAGCCCACGTAAATAAATACTGTAGAAAACGTGTTTCAGAATAATTTGTATGGAAAATTTAAAAAAAAAACGTCAAAGTTTGATGCACTTTCCAAATTAAGGAAAAAATATTGTTCATAGAACAAAGAAATATAAAAATAGCATAAGACAAATTATATATACATATATATATACATACTTTTAAATAAAATTTTGTATATGAAAATAAATTCATTTAATCCCACCAAAGTATTTAAGAGAAATCATATCCCAAAGTATGAAAGAGAAAGGATAATAGTATGTTTTTGTGTTCATTTAATTTATAATTAAAACGATTGTTTTTAATTTTATTCAAATAAAATAAATTTTTTTACATTACAAATATTTTATGAATACCTCTCCATATTAATGTCATATAAAATTGTTTGTCGTTTACAAAAAATTAAAAAATCATTAATCAGTAAATCGTTGCTGACTAATATATTCATTAAACAATATTTTCTTCTATCAAATCTGTAATAATTTTATAAAACATATTTATAATATACTATATACGTTTATACTATAATTTAAGATATGTATATAGGTCATTCATTACATGTGTAACGGTTCTTGAACCTAACATCTTCGAAATCTTCGAATTTTTTTAAAAAATACTTTTTAAAAATCACTCAGTTTTAAAAATTTTATAAAATCATGAATTTAAAAAATATATTTTAATTTAAACACTTTCCTACATTAAAATTGACTAGATATATATTTCCTTCATTCATTTTTAAAATGAATTTCAGTATGCTTCCTTAATAGATGATACATATTTCGAAGACAGGCGTGCTCTATACACACTTTTGTTTATAATTTAACAATTTTAATTAAGAAAACTTTTATTTCCAAAAATTACTATTTATTTAACTTATGTTTATCCAAGTGAAACCATATTTTTCAGAATAATTGTCATTAATCTCGAACATATTAAACTGAAATGTAGTGAAACTTATGTTAACTTAATGAAATAGAACTATTTTCCGAGCATTCAACGAATTTGACATATTTATTCCATACTAATTGAAACATTAAGGACTGTTTTACCCAACGCACATCCGCTCCAATTGCAGTTTGCAATATTCCACATGTTTCTCATCGTATCCTACAAAATGGTGTACTTAACATCTTCGAAATCTTCGAATTTTTTTAAAAAATACTTTTTAAAAATCACTCAGTTTTAAAAATTTTATAAAATCATGAATTTAAAAAATATATTTTAATTTAAACACTTTCCTACATTAAAATTGACTAGATATATATTTCCTTCATTCATTTTTAAAATGAATTTCAGTATGCTTCCTTAATAGATGATACATATTTCGAAGACAGGCGTGCTCTATACACACTTTTGTTTATAATTTAACAATTTTAATTAAGAAAACTTTTATTTCCAAAAATTACTATTTATTTAACTTATGTTTATCCAAGTGAAACCATATTTTTCAGAATAATTGTCATTAATCTCGAACATATTAAACTGAAATGTAGTGAAACTTATGTTAACTTAATGAAATAGAACTATTTTCCGAGCATTCAACGAATTTGACATATTTATTCCATACTAATTGAAACATTAAGGACTGTTTTACCCAACGCACATCCG